ATTTTAAGGGCCAAGTGAAATTCCCGTGGTCCCAGGATGCTAAGGTATATAAGAAACTGCTTAGCAATGTCCATGGGAACTGGTATCTCAACCAAGGACAGGGATTCATTGTCACAGAGAGCGCCAAGAGATATCTTTGTCACATAAGAACATTATACCTCTATTATATTCACTCCTCGTCTAGCAACAACTACAGAAAGAACACATGCTGTGTGGCTGCGGAATGTTAAAAATTTAAGAATGACACAGGGCGGCACAGGTACACACAGTAGACATTAGTGCACAATGCAGATTAAAAGCCAACTCCAGCAGAGTCTGTATGGGACAAGCCACCATGCTGCTCACTTACTTGAGGACATGTGCACTGAGGATAATGTATAAGCCAGAGAAACTCAAGGATCAACACATGTGAATCTGAAAAATTTTACTTTGGAAGTTAATGCTATAAAAATTGGGAGCAAGTATTTAGTATTTTTAATGTTTTTTTTTTCTTTTGAAGATATCTTCCATGGGTGCCTATTGGTACCATTATGATACATAAGAATGGGACAAGTCATCCTAAAAATAATTTCTGCCATTATTCATGATACCTGTATATGTCCTGTTCATCATCAACACCTTTTGTTAGAAGGGCTGGATTCCATGGAATCCAGATACTGAGATTCCTATGTGTTTCCTTCCCTATGTCTGCTGAACTCCAGTACTCAAATTCTTAGGAAACATATCTTCTGCTGGCTGGCTGGCTGGCTGGCTGGCTATCTATCTATCTATCTATCTATCTATCTATCTATCTACCTACCTACCTACCTACCTACCTACCTACCTACCTATCTATCTATCTATCTATCTATCTATCTATCTATCTGTCTATCCAACCCTACCTACCTACCTATCTATCTTGATGCTGGAGATTACACCCAGAGCCTGGTATACAGTGAGCAAGCAGTATGCCAATGAGGTATATCCTATCCAAGACTTGATGTTTTAATCTGAATGAGTTTTCATTTCACTACCTATCTCCTAACTGCTCAAACAGAGAAGGAGCCATGACTGAGAAAGTTAGTCTTACACTTTCATTCATTAATTTATATGTTCAGTTAAACAGAACATTTTCATGTTCATTAATAAAAACATATATGCTTACTCTTGCAAGTCACAGCTAACATCCTTAAGTTCCAAGGACTGCACAGGAGATATGGCAGGGCTGGTTCTTGGGTTTCTGACTCAACAGAAAAAGGTCAGCTGACAAATCAGCCTCAGAATGAGAGAGCTTGAAAGTACCTAGAAACACTGCCTACTCATCGTTCTTAATCTAACCAGAGGGTAGACCCACACGGGAAAGGGGACAGTGCCAACTGGTTGCAAGAATGAGTTTACAGAGCATGATTACTATCTGTGACTTTTGCATATTTCTCTTTATAGCTCATGCAATTTCTGTTTTATGATTAACTGATGCTGTTAGAATAATTCATGCATGCACAGCCACAATTGCTTTATCTTATGCATTAAACCCTTTGGCATCATAAAAAGGGAATGAACTAACAACACCAATATATTAGTGTTAAAATATTGAGAGATATGAGGACATATATGCATATATGTATGCTATATATATATGTGTGTATGAATATGTATACACACATTTGAGGGGTAGCTATATGTGGTGTGTGTATATAATTGTACTCACTTGTGCTTGTATGTACAGAGGCTAGACAAAGATGTCAAGTGTTTTGCTGCGTTGCTCTCTGCCTTATTATTGTGAGACAGGATCTCTCAATGAACCTGAAGCTTGCTGTTTCAGTTAGGCCAGCCATCCAGGATCCACCTGATTGCAACCCCCTACTTGTGCCCATGACCAGCCTTTTTCACATGGTTGGTGGGAATTTGAATTTAGGTCCTCATGTTTACAAAGCAAGCATACTACATAATAAGCCATTTTTCTAGGCCAATTTTAATGTGTGTGTGGTTTTTTTTTTTTTTTTATGATAGGGTCTCATGTAATTCATGCTGGCCTCAAATTCAATATTAAGCCAAGGATGCTCTTGAACTATTTATTCTTCTGTCTCTATCTCCCACGTATGGGATAAAGATGTTATTTGCATAGCTGGCAAGTCTCTGAATAAGGTCAATTATTCTGATTCTAAAAGAGTGATGGTGTGTGCCTATAGTTCTAAATATTAGGGAAGATGTGGTGGGAGAACTGCTTGAGCTCAAAACAAAACACTCTCAACCCACTCAAAGCACAGCAATTAAAAACAAAAACCACATTTGAAAATATAATGGGACTAAAGATTACTAATGAGTTAAATAATATCTCACTTTGAGTTACTTAGTGTTGATAATGAATGCTGTTCTGTATTTCTACCCAGGCTCCTCATTTGCTCACCCATCAACCTCATTCTACTGTGATTCCTTTGAATGCCCACTTATCCAGAACGAGAGTATGAATTGCTAGCTCCATGTTATAGTTGTGCTATAACACTTTGGATGCTCTTATCTTCTCTCAGCTGCACTTGGAGGACCTCATCAGAGGATCTACTGCAAGGTCTCTGGCTGCATCTCATCCATGAATGACCCTTGGGTTCTTAAGGGAAGATTGTCAAAGTCAAATTGAATGGAAACATTAAGTTGGCGCAGGAGCTTTGAGGGTGTGGGTTGGCTTCCATTTTTGCCATATGGTAGGTTCAGGAGGGAGCTGAGTTACCAGCAAGTAATTTTCAAAAAGTCAATACTTCACGGGGGCAGCTTGTGAGAAATGTAAAATCAGATAAAAATCTTTCATCAGCAGTTGTTCCATGTCTTATCAAATGCAACGACAGGTAAACCCACTCTGAAGCCTAATAGTTTTCAGTAACATGCTTGCTCTGACTGTTGTCAGTCCTAAAATTTTGAAAGGTTTTGTGATTAGTTGCTAGATTTGGATGGCTGGTTTTAAATGTTCAAGAAAATAAAAAATGGTATGTGTTTTTAAGGGGACATAATGTAGTCTATAGAGCCCTACACTGTCAGGACACAGGCAGAAGTTTCCTATTACATCAGAGTTTCAGCTGGGATCTGAGAACCTACTCAAGAAATGCAACATCTTGTACAATAATCTATGCATAGTCACCATAGAAATGTAGATCCCATCTTTTATAAAACATTATTCTTTAAAATAATGCAAATAGTAAGCAATGCAAGTTATGGCATGGTTCCTCTTCCAAAGACATACAATGTGGAAGCAAGACAGACAACAAAAGCAGGCACAAAGGCAAACCGAAGGATCATATGGTCATCTCAGTAGGGGACATCAGGAAACCTTTCTATTTCCTATTCTCCTTCTGACTTCAATTTAATAAACAAAAACAAACAAAACAAAACAAAAAACAAAGAACCTCACATTCTTTGGTGGCCAGAGAGTAAATCTGCTACTATGAAAGAATGGTCTTGACTTTTCAAGAGAATTGTAGAGCTGACTATTGAATCCTTCTGTAGCCAAAGGAGCAATGCATAACTGAAACAGATGTGATTGACAATCCAATAGGATTCTAAGAAACAGAATTGTGAGAAGAACCTAACCTTCCCAATGTTGTGAACTCATGATCACTGATCAGACCCCAAGGCTCATCAAGTAAGTCAACAAGCAGCCCTTCTAATCCTAGGAAGCATGAAGATTAAGGCAACCTCCACAAACTAATATTTAGAACTCACTAAATTTGACTTTAAAAAACAGTATTTTATATTTGAAAGACATCTGGAAAGTCAACATTAATTTCTGAACACTCAAAATTCTCGAAGGATACTGACTCCCAGTTAAGGTAAAATACCACACTAGTGAATGCAAAAAAAAAAAAAAAAAAAAAAAAAATGCTATTGATAATTTTGTCTGTAAATCCCACAACTTTAAGTTTTGTTTTATTTTATGAGTGTTTTGTCTGCATGCATGCCTGGTACCTTCTGAGGCCAGATAAGGGCATCAGCTCTCCCCTGGGACTGGAGTTACAGAGGGTTGTGAGCCTCTGTTGGTTGCTGAAATCCAACCAGGGTCCTCTGAAGAGTAGCCAGTGCTAGTAACCACTGAGCTATCTTCCCAGCTCCCCACATAATCCACTTCAAGTTTGCTTTAGAAACACCTTCCTCTTAAACATGATCGGGCTAAGGTATCGTAAGCCACTTGATATGGGTGTGCTGGGAATCAAGCTCAGTGAACTCACTCTGTAGCTGAGGATAACTGTGACTCCTGATTTTCCTGCCTGACTTTTCGCGATTCCAAATGCTGGGATTACAGTCAGTCACCACTGGCCCCAGCAGAAACATGACTTTTTTGTTTGTTTGTTTGTGTGAGGCAGAGTCTCATCATGTAAGGTAGCCTTGGCTGACTTGGGCTTGATATCTAGACCATGCTGTCTCACACCTGCTTCTATCCTTGTGCCTCTGGAGTCAAGGCCTTTTTGAAATAGCCCATGATCAGCAATCAGGAGGCACAGCCCTGGGCTGATAGGAATGGCTCCATTATCTGGTGGCAGTTCTCCTTCAAAGTCATTTTAGCTTTTCCTGATGTATGAAACCTAGGCAAGTTAGTATTCATGAGTGTGTTCTCCCTATGCTGATAAATACTATCTAACTAATAGATAAATACTATACTAAGTAATAGATAAATACTATACTAACTGATAAATACTTATCTAACAGGTGCCCCTTCTTTAACCATAAGGGGACATTTGGCTAGATCATTTCTTTCACATATAAGTTTTTCTAAAATATTATGCAGAACTCTGACAGCATGCCTTTAGATGTATAGTGATAGTGGTAGTGATACAGTGATCCTAGAAAAGACATAACAAAACCTAGCACAGAGAGGCACAAAAGCATCCCATCCCTCAGGACTCAGCAGCCTACCTGCTACACGCACTTACACACACACACACACACACACACACACACACACACACAAAGAGAAAAGCAAAGCACTGGCTGTGTGCCCATTAAACTCACAAAAGTGTGCTCTTCCTGTGACCCACCTGCTATGGCCCTGTATGTCCCCCAGCTCCTTCTGCAGCCTGGCATTTTTCTCTTCCTCCTCCAATAACCTCCTCTTCACAGTGCGCAGTTCCTGTTGCGCCTCACACTTGATGTCATTGGCCACCACCACTGCAGTCTGCAGGTCTGCCTGGAACCGCCTCCATTCCTCAGTTTCCTCCTAAAAAAGGACAGAATCCACATGTTCCTCAGACACTGAGCAGGGTGCTGGGGTCTCTGCGTAGGGGTTCCTGAATCCTAGTATTTATTAATCACCAAGAAAGAAGATTAGGCAGAAAGACTTGGTTTTAATGGTGTCTCACTACTCAGAAGAGGCACAAGACGTAACTCCTTGGTGTCCGAGAGTTTTCGACTAAAAACTGATTGCTTTAGTTACATTTCCTGCCAGAAAGAATGTACAACTCAAGTTTAGGGCCTGGAGATGTTCTAGGACAATGGTTATCAACCTGTGGGCTGCAACACTTTTAGGGGTTGCATATCAGATATTTACATTACAATTCAGAACAGCAGCAAAATTACAGTTATAAAGTAGAGATGCAATAATGTTATGGTGGGGGGGGTCACAACAACATGAGGAACTGTATTAAGGGATTAGAAAGGTTGATAACCACTGTTCTAGGAGAAGCTGGCTGGAGAGAATGACAGAGTAATTTGCCAATGTTTCCAACTGAGGACAGGGATAATGTGCAAAGATGACAGAAGAGGTGCCTGGTCATGGCTCACCTTTATCTGTTTTGTCAGGGTCTTCAATTGCCGTTCTAAGTCTGACTTCTGCTCCTCCAGCTTGATCACACTGCCTAGAAGTAAATGAGTTGGACAGGAGTTAGAAAGTTGCAAGGCTCCTGGACAAGATAAGTTGCAAAGCAAGAGGACAGCCCCGGAAACAACAGGCTTAACGCCCATCCTTCTCCAGTAAGTTATGCTGTAAGCACTCTGAATCCAGATCTAGGAGCAGAGTCCTCAAAAACAGGGAACTGGATGACATGTCAGCGGTACTTACTTAGGTTACAACCTCAGAAGTTAAGTTTTATGTAGCACTATTCGAGGAGGCTTCAACAGCCATACAACTGACACTTTTGCCTTGGGCTTCCCTGCTAGTCACACACAAGCTTCCTGAAGGCCTTTGTCACTGGAGCTTTGGTGTAAGAGAGGAGTCTGCTGGTTGTTATTTCTGTGACTTCGAAACTTGATTCTAGAGTCATCATTCTTAACCACAGTTAACCCTGAGAATCACATGAGACACAGGTGTGCAAACATGAACTCTAAACCTACGGGTTCAAAACTCTGAAGACAGCCAGGATCTGGGCCCACATATATAAAAACTCCACAGGTGGCACAACCACCTCTCAATAATTAAGACCAAATTCTGTTCCTCGTTCTCTCTGCCTCCAGCTCTCTCCACACTGCTATCACAGTCATTTAAATGTAAGTATCAATATTCCAATCACCCAAGAAAAATTCCTAGTATTTGTCTATTAAGGATGTGAATGAATGAAGCCGGGCATAATGGTACATACATGTAGTCCTCTCTCTCTTTCTCTCTTTCTCTTTCTCTCTCTCTCTCTCTCTCCCTTCTCTCAAAAAGAAAAAAAGAGGGGGTTGAGAAGAAGGCTATCAACCATTATCTCCAGAGAAGGGCAGAACCCACACAGTAGCATTCTGCCCCAGAGACTCTGAACCAGGGCTGGGGTGTTTGTGCTTAGGGTCAATGCCAAAGAGTAAGAAGTCCCCTCCTTTATTTCTTGTTTTGTCTGTCTCTCTCAAGGATCTCATGGAGGAAAAGATTAATCTAAGTCTGGATTTGAGTGTCCTGACAAAAATACACTTTAATAATACCTTGATATCCCTAGCAGGAGTTTAAAAGCTTCTCAGAGACAGTCAGTATTACTTTCAGTCTCTGATATATTATGATATAATCACTAGATGTGGTCCTGAAATTTGCTCTGGACATTAATTATATACTGGTTTTCTTGGTGTGTCTGGGCTGACTTTTAAGGATTTAATGACAATACAACCACATTCTCCACAGTGCTAAATCACAAAGCAAAACAAAACAGGACTTGTCTCCTTTGACCCTATTCTTTATAAAGAGGGTGCTATGTTTGGAAACAGACAGTGGCCAGATATTTAATTGCACTCTCAAGAATGACTATGGCGTCTGGGTGACACTGGATGTCAGTGCTCTATGGTTCATGACAAAGGCAATGGGCTCTGTCACTCTTGACACTAGCCAATTAATCCAGGCAGAGCACACAATCAGCTCCCCTCACAGAAACCACCATGCTCGCTCAACTAGAGAATACTGAGCTGTTGCTTTCCAAGGAGACACAATGCTAGATTCCTGTAAGCCTCCAGTCACATTTTTCATCATCTGAAATACTATTTGCATGCTATAGTTCTGCATGCCAGAGTCCTTGTAAATCAGGGCAGTCCTATAAGCACCAGGAAATTCACTTGCCATTGTTTTTCTCCCAATATCAAACAGGCACTTTTAACATTCTTCTGTAGCTTCCTAACCTATGCAACCTTCTTGCCTTAAGTATCCTTGCTCTTAAGCATTATGGGTATACAATGAGAAGGATTTAGAATTCTCCTGGCCATGGGCTATGTTATGATGAATTCCTTTTGTCTCTGACATTGTGACACTGCTGTCCATGACTGTTAGCTACTGGTCTTCATTCCATGAATTTATAAGGCTCCTCCCCTTCCCATCCTTTCCATTGCTTCAACATCAATGAAGATGTATCCCTGAATATTACTCCAGCACTTTTCAGAGAAGCCTCACATTAGGACTGGAGAATGACCTGCATCCTCTGTCTGGCTATCCTGGACTGCTGACTGGTTGACACTGAACTCACATGCACCATCATAAAAGCTCAGGCCTGACCAAGATTCTCTAATAAACCTATTTCTGTAAGTATATTACAGCCTTCCTGCACTTAGGGACACTAGACAGCACTTTAGCATCATAACTGTGAATATTTTAAATATCAAAAATCTGAAAAACAAGTACAAAAGTGTTTGTTTGTTTTGCTTTTTGTTTAAGGGAAAGCATATAAAGAACACTTGTGGCCTGATGAGATGGCTCAGTTGGTAAAGGAACTTACCATCCAGCCTGACAACTCTTGAGTTTGATCCCAGGGAACCACGTGGTAGAAGGAGAGAACCAATTCCCATAAGCTGTCCTCTGACCTCCACACCCAAGATAAATAAAATGTAAAAACATTTTTTTAAGAAAAAAAAAAAAAAAGATTTGTACATAGTATCAGAATTCAGGACAGAAAGGAAAAGTCTCTTGAGATGGATCTCTGCTGATTACAGAGACTTTCCTGACTTTTTGGCTGACCTTTCACCTCTCTCTGCATGCCCCCAAACCAGGAAGGTGTTATGCGTACCAAACTGGGGGAGTACACATACATTTAGGTGAGTAGATGAATTCAGGAATATAGAATCTGTGAGTAATGAGCATAGCAGGGAAACTTCTGAGGGAACTAGATGATGTTTAGTAATAACTAATGCCATACAAAGCTTTTTTTTATTAAGTTTTTTGTTACAAAAGACAAAGCTCATTAGATGTGACATTTGATAAGGCTGATTAGAATAAACACAAAGGATGTTCAATCTTTTTAAAAATGTCTTTCCCCTCTGGGCAGTGGTGAGACACACCTTTGAGAGACAGAAGCAGGCAGATCTCTGTGAGTTTGAGGCCATCCTAATCTACATAGGGAGTTCCAGGACAGCCAGAACTACACAGAAAAACCCTATCTCAAAAACTGACAAAAAAAAAAAAAAAAAAAAAAAAAAAGTCTCTCCCTATTCAAAGCAGTGACTTTCTCATAAGACCATATACCAATGCCTCTTCAGAAACCAACTGTCTAACATCTATGAGAAATCCCATGCTCTTCCATCAATGTGAAGCATGCTGGACATGACCACAGGTGCATAGCTGTTTCACTCTGAGTAGATCACCTAGCTCTTGTGTACCAGATCCTGAAGACAACATACCATTGACACAAAGGCAGTGAACAATTTACTCTAAAAAACACTCCTTAAATGCTAAAGGTCATCCTTAGAGGGGAAAAAAAAAAAAAAAAGCCTCTCCTACTCACAACAGAAGCCAAAGTAGGTTTGGTTGTCTAGCAACTCAGGATGTGACACAGGTACATTTAACACTTCGAAATTGTGCCTGCCCTCTTGCAAGAGCTGTGGTCATCTACGTCTGTTACTCAGCATTTTACTTAGTTTCAGAGATTATTGCTTGTCTCATAAGTGCTATTCTCTTGGGAGATTATAGTGCTCAAAAGACAGGCTCTCCAACTCTCTGGCCTTAGGAGGCCTCCTGTCATGCACCATCTACTCACACCTGTTGCATGTCTCCAGGCTTGACTTCACTTACTTTCCAGCTCACTAATGAGCTGATTGTTGTGTAACTTGACAGCACGGTGCTGTTCCACCTGATCTTCCAATTCAAATATGGTTTCTTTCATGTCTTTGATTTCTGCGTCACTCTCTGAAGCTTTCTCTTGTAATTTTAGGCTGGTTCTGCTCAGTTGTTCTGCTTGATGATCGCAGACCTCCTTCAGGTAAGAGTAATCCTTTTCCATCTAGAAAACAAGAAATATTGTCAGTTTAAAAACTCACTCAAACGACTTCTTGCTGTCCTTCAGTCTACCAACAGACAACACTAGAAATGTTGAGAGAGACACATTGTGTCCAGACGCTGGATTCTGTGCCCCTTTTCACAAGCAGGAAGAAAAGGACTCCTAGTGTATGTCACTCTTTCCCTTACCAGCTTAGAACAGGATATCATGAAAGCTGAGAGGCCGCCCTAACCTCACATTCTCTATGGAGCAGCGCCCTCTGCTGGTGAGACTCCATGTCCTGGAAGCCTGAACCACAAACTTCAACCTTAGAACACCAGATTGATTACATTTCTTTGGAAGACACACTACATAGAAATCTGAGGGCACTGGAAACAGAAAATCATCCCAGCACATTCATTTCACCTGCTCAACTTTAATTATACACTTACATAGTAAGAAACAAGATGATACACTCAGGCTTAACAATTAAATGTTGCCATATTTACAAATTAATGTGTTAATTATCAATGTGTCAATGCCTCAACCTTTCCTTCAATTTCAGCAAGTAACAGGCATTGTTCTAAAGTTTGTGTATGGTCATGCCTTGAAAATTTTCCCATACTTATTACATATGTGTTTTAGCCCTTGATAATATATAACCTTATTCTAGGTATTTTGAAAATTTACACAGCTGGTTGTATATGTGTGTTAATTTGGAAGTATTGCAGTATGTAATATGCCTTTGTCTTGTACTAAACAGTGCTTATTATACTATTTTAACTTAATTTTAAATGTTAGTATATACAGATTGATACATATTACAACAGGTTATTTGGGCACATGTGTGGGTATATGTGTGCACATTTCTGCACATATGTATGGAGGTCAGAGTTTGATATCAGTGTTTTTCTTGACCACTTTCTACCACTGATAAGGTAAGATGTCTCACTTGAATCCAGAGCTAGCTAATTCAGATAGTCTAGCTAGCTGGTTTGCTCTGAGGAGTCCCTGTCTCTACTTTCTGAGTACTGAGGTTAGGCAGGTTACTACACTGCCCTGCATTCACCTGGGTGCCAGGGACCTAAATTCTGGTTTTCATACTTACACAGAAAGGCTTTATCATCTACTGAGCCATTTCCCCAGCTGGCACTAGACTATTTTAATTACTACACACTGAAAATCCACTGCCTAAAACACCAATCTGTTATTAAGAAAAGTGCTACAATAAACACTTCCTTTTCTACAGCCATTTAATTGACATCGATAAATAGGTATATATTTACTGGGCAATCAATATAAGCTTGATGTGCAATAGATTTCTTCCTATTTTTTAAGTCGGGGGTGGGGGGGGTATCTTCACATCCAATTTTGTTTCCAGTTGCAGTTCTGGCTGGGGACTCTATAGGAACAGGGACCTGGTCTGTTTTATCCCCCACAGCACACGGAACCCTCTGCTCCTGCAGAGACATGGAGTGGTAGACATGGAGAAAGTAACTAATGTGTATTTGATGAATAAATGAAAACAGTACTACAAGGCAGTCCTGAAGTATTTTCCATTTGGGAAGGTGGGATGGACACACAGATGAACAGATGGGTGGGAGTAAGATGAACAACCTCAGGATCAACACAGATCATACTGCCTGAGTTATGTAAAATTGGCCTTTCAATGACAGAAGTGTGTGTGTGTGTGTGTGTGCGCGCGCGCGCGCGTGTGTGTCTGCACTGTGGACATATATCGCTGCAGGCTTCTGTCAAAACTGAAACCCACTGAAGCATATATACCAAAATGGCTTAGGGCACAGAATCCTAAGCTAGACTGTCAACATTTAAATTCTAATTCTACCAAGTCAAGATTTGTGGATCTGTTTTTGTTACAGGCATGCATCACACACAATTGAACCTGATATTCTTTTACTCCCTCTGCCTCAGCTTCCTCATTTGAACAATGCAGGAGATTTAATGAAACAATGCATTTACAGTTTATCAGTGCCTGGAACATAATAAGCACTCAACAAAAGTTATTCCCTTCTTCTACATAATTCCCTTATGTATTATGAATAAGTTAGACATAATAATGTGAATAATAGTATAATATAAGTGCATTCAACCAAAAATTTACAATTAGTGGAAAAAGCTACAAATCTTTTTTCTTATCAATGGCTACTTTATAATATATAGAAAAAGTGCTTTTTAAAAAAAATGAGACATATTCTGGGGGCTGGAGAGATGCTCAGCAATTAAGAGCACTGGCTGCTCTTCCTGAGGACCCAGTTCAATTCCCAGAACTCACATGGCAGCTCACAACTGTCTGTAACTCCTGTTCTAGGGGGTCCAACACCCTCAAACAGGCATACATGCAAGCAAAACACCAATGTATGTAAAATAAAAATAAGTAATTTAAAAAACAATACACAGTCTATCTTTTTTTTTCTTTGTAAAAAGCATGACAGAGGGTTTTGATACACTGTGTGGATGCTGGGAACCAAACCCAGGTCCTTTGGAAGAGCAGTAAGTGCTCTTAACTGCTGAGCCATCTTGCTATCATCCCTACAGCACTTCCATTTTAGATGCTAGAAAGCTAGTATCTGAAAGGCAGCAGTGGAAGGCAAACTCTGAATCTCGCAGGTTCATAGCTGGACTCATCAGGCAGAGGCATGTCATCTTGGTGTCCAGATATATGCATGCGACTAGTAAGAAATACTATGGGTGTGGAGTAAAATGGGGGAATATGATAAGGGAAATTGTTAAGCATCCCGAATGGGGTCTCTGAGTGCAGCTGAGACTACTGACCCTCAGAGACTCTGATTTTATTTCCCATACTAATTCATCATGATTATGAGCACTGAAGAGTAACATGCAAGGGGAAGGGACAGAAGTGCAGACTGGTATGCCTACAAATCAACACTGTCCCAACACTTTTTTCTTGATATGAAATATATCCTCCAAGTCTGATGAAATAATCCAGAAAACTTTGTTGCTTTTGTTTGGTTTAGGGTTTTGTTATTTATTTATTTATAGGCAAGGTCTTGTCTTCTTATTTACATAGTCCTGGGTGTCCTAGGGCTCATCTAGTCTAGGCTGGCCTCAAACTCACAGAGAGCCACCTGCCTCTGCCTCCTGAGTACAGGGATTAAAGGCATGCACCATTACACCCAGTCAAAAAACTTTTTTAAAAAAGTACTTTTACCCTGGGCTTAACAAGAAACCTGGCACTGGGAAATTCCCAGGAATCCACAAGGATAACCCCCAACTAAGAAACTAAGCAATAGTGGAGAGGCTACCTTAAATGTCCTTCCCCTATAATGAAATTAAATACCATCATAAAGCCTTCATTCAGTAGCTGATGGAAGCAGAAGCAGATTCACAGATAAGCACTGAGATGAACTCCTGGAATCCAGTTGTAGAGAGGAAGGAGTTATGAGCAAAGGGGTCAAGACGATGTTGGGGAAACCTACAAAAACAGCTGACTCAAGCAAGTGGGATCTCACAGACTCCAGATTGACAGCTGGGGAACCTGCATAAGGCTGAACTAGGCTCCCTGAACGTGGTTGTCAGTTGGGGGGCTTGGGCAGTCTATGGGGCCTCTGGCAGTGGAGTCAGTATTTATCCCTAATGCATGAACTGGCTTTTTGGAGCCCATTTCCTATGAAGGGATACTCTTTCAGCCTAGATATAGGAGGGAAGACCTCAGTCCTGCAACAAATGATGGGACAGACTTTGATGATACCCCATGGGAGGCCTCACCTTCTCTAAGGAGAGGATGGGGGATGGGATGGGGAGATAGTGGGGGAAGTAGGAGGACTAGAGGGAGAAGGAACTGGGATTAGTATGTAAAATAAGATTGTTTTTAATTTAAATTTAAAAATTAATTTAAAAGGGTAGTTTTACCATCTCATAGGACACTCACTAGATCAACAGGAAGGCATTAATTATTTTCAGGTTATGTTCATTTTATAGATTAACAAACATATATAGGGAAATTATTAAAGAAGAAGAATGTGGGCTGGAGAGATGGTTCAGCAGTTAAGAGCACATGCAGTTCTTCCAAGAACCTGAGTTTGACTCCCAGAACCCACATTAGGTTGGTAACTCCAGCCCTAAGGGTCTGATGACCTAGTCTGGCTTCTATGGGCACATTCACATAAATGATGAGTCTATACTCACAAAGACACAAACACAAACTATTTTCGAGAATCCAGCTTACCTACCAGCAGAGAACAGAGCTGTGTATTTCTATGAACACTGAGTTCTAAGATGCCTTTATTGTGATGCTGGCCTTCTCCTGCCTAGCAGTGGAAACTTTTGAATTTAGTTTCTCTAATTTGGGAATTACACTATCAGATATCCAAACAGGGTTGTTGTTGTTGTTGTTGGTGGTGGTGGTGGTGTGTGTGTGTGTGTGTGTATGTTTCCTTTGGGAAAACAAAACAAAACAAACAACAATAAAAACCCACTTCCAAGCACTCCAAGCATCTTTCATCTTCTTCAGTCAGATTCAAACAAACATTGATGGGCGATGTCATTCTGTAAATATGTTTCTATTATTTGTTAATGAATAAAGCACTGTTGGCAAATAGGAAGGCAAAATAGTTGGGACTAGGAGACAAGGAGGATTCTGGAAGATGTAGTAGAGAGGAGTTAAGATGTAGGACATGACAGAAGTAAGGGGTCCAGACCCTCTATCTGGTAAGATAAGACCATGTGGAAACACTGATTGATAGAACTGAGTTAATATTTAAGACAGGGCTAACCAAGAAACACTAGTACCAGGCCAACAGCTTTATATCTAATACAGCATCTCTGTGCATTATTTTGGGGCTGACGCGGCTGTGGGACCAGGCTGGAGGAAAAGTTCTCATAACAAAACACCACCAAGATTTCTCAGAGAGAAGACATCAAGAGTCTTCCCTGATTCACCAACAATGGCCAAATCCAAGTAGCAACCTAGTCAGCTGTGGTCAGACCAGACGACAATTCTAGCAAGTGTCACCACCCCCTCCAAACTTGTAACATTGAACTTG